CTGCTAATATTCAACATTGTTATCAGTATCATTTTCATATAATGGCACTATAAAATAAATTGTTTCCGATATGAGAAATGCCATTAGGGATTTCCAATCGTGTGGGATAAACCAGGTGACAAACATGGGGGTATAAAAGAGAAGATACTAAAAGAATAGTCAAACTTATAAGTCAAAACAGAACTGATAATGACATGGCAAAAACGGAAAACAACAAAAAAAGCGGGGGCATCTCAGGTGCTCCGATAGAGTAAGCAGCTCTGGCTCCACATGTGACACGTATAATCCTGTAATATGTTTTTTTCATTATTACGGTAGTTAGTCGTATAATTGTGGAAGTTGAACAATAAAGCTTGTAAATACTAGTAATATCTTTAAAAGGGATGTAACTTTTTATTTACATCAAATCAAAATATTTCTCAGTTTCACATGTTGCTGTTGACGGACAACCTTGAAGATATTTGGCAAATGTTACGTAAGTTTTGTATAATTTTTATTTGTGAGCCATCCAGTACTAAGGAATGCATTTATTTTTTTTAGGCTTTTTGTGTGGTTAAATACTTCCACAACTCGGGAGGTGTGTGATAGCAAATCATGATTTCCACATCTGGAGCAAATTCCAAGTACAATGTATGTTTACCGTTGTGTTGTGAGTTTAATTGGCTCTAAAATTTTAGTTTTTCTCGATATACTAAATTTTCTTTTGGATTTCCCACTGTATAGAGCTAAATAAGCAAATTAGCATCCGTACCTCGGGATGTTCTCTCAGTAAGATAAAAATCCTATAGATTGACATCGATAGATTTTCCTACCTTTTCCCTACAGAATTTTTAATGAACTTATTTGTATCATAGGGTTAATTAAATAAAATGTGTTTTGGTTGTGAATGTCCTTCCTATTTAATTTTTCAAAAATACTCGTATTTTTTACAATTCATAATGTTTGTAGTTTTCAGCATAGTGCCCTGTTTCATCAGACTTTCTATGTTTTGTTCGTTGTCTTACCATATAAAAATAAAGAGATGTGGTTTGACTGCCAATGAGATAAATATCCATCAAAGTTCAAATGAAGTAGATTTAAGCAATTATAGGCAACCGTACGGCCTTCAACAATGAGAAAAACTCATACAGCATGGTCGGCTATAAAAGGCCCCAACATGAAAAATGAAAACTAGCGGCCTAAGTTATAACAAAACAATTTACGAAAAACAAATATGACAGACATGAACCAACGACAACCACTAAACTACAGGCTCCTGAGTAGGGACAGGCACATAAAGAATGTGGCGGGATTAAACATGTTTGTGAGCGCCAAAAACCTCTCCCTTACCTGGGACAGTGGTGTAACAATACATAAGAACAAACTATAAAAATCAGTTGAAAAAGGCTTAACTTATCAGATGGATACAAATAGAAATACATATAACCAAAACACAAAGTAGACGTGGACGGATACTTATACATCCCAAAAACAAAAAGACACTAAATACAGATCTGAGAGTACTCACGGTTACTGAAAGCTAGTTCAAAGCCGATAACAACTCGTGGAAAAAATCATGTATCTAAGACTAAAATATCAACCAGTACACATCTAATGGATTTAGTATAAAGACGTCATTAAAAGTCAGAGAAAAACTCTTTTTGGATAATTTATTACATCAAAATTGTTAGACTTACCAAATCTATAAAATTGAAAATGCAATACAAATTTGAATACAGCGACAATTATTATTTAGTTACCTTTAAGATTGATTAAATATACTCATTTTGTATTTTTGCATGAACCTTAGCGATGGTAGCTAAGATCGGTCAGACAAACGATGTGATGATACATGAGGGTCTGGATGGGTAATATATAATAGAAAATAATGGACCAAAAATAAAGCAAAAAGAACACAAAAAAGAAAGTGTATGGCAAAATAGGCAAAATAGAAATAACAGAGAATAGTGGGCTTCTCAAATATAGAAAATACAGAAAATAACAAAATAAAGAATAGAGAAAAATGGCATAAAAGCAGAAGTGAATGACCCCGACCCCCTTTAATTGATAAGTACGTATTGTGTGTAATATTTCACACATGTATTATCATTCCTGACGGGATATAGATAATAAGTCAGTAATTATATATCGTTACTGTACCATGAATAAATGGATAATGTAATGATGCCCCCTCTTGCATATAACGTTATAAAGGAACATAACTGAAGAACAGTATAAGTGAGGCAACCAAAATTCAAACTTGATCTGTGTTCAGTGGTAATTAACATTGTGTATGAGTTTCATAACATTTGGTTGAGGCAAACTAAAGTTATAGAACGGGAACTAATTTTGGGCGTGCGGACGTACGGACGGACAAGGGTTACACTTGATGCATCCTCTGGTGCAACGGGGCATACAAATAATTAAGATGAAATCCTTTCAGAAAGTGCGATTTCCGGAAAAATATAAATAACATAGGTTTCCGGGTTTGTCTGTTTGCAAACAATTTAGAACATATAGGAACCATTTATAAAACAAGCAAAACATCCAATGTAGAGGTTACAAGAGCGCAATTATTTATTTACATTTTATCGGCAAGTTTTTTACCCCAAGATGGTACTCAGAATAGAATCCTATACGGCTTCTGATTGGATGATACAGGATTGGAATTACATTTAATCGAAACCTTATCCAATAAGGTTTAAAAATTGCAGAAAATCATATTCACATTTTACGAAGTATAGAAAATATCCTCCATTTCTGCACGTCGGAGCCATTAGAAATATGCCTTTTTCATTAAGCGAAAAAAATAGACGATCTTTTTCAACTGCATTTTAAGTCAATTTCTGCCGCATGACCCTATATATTTTTTTGGTTGTAATGCAACACTGGCATTTCTAGTAACAGGAACTGCAATCCGTTTGTCCCTAGTTTGTGTAGTCTTCGAGAAAAAAAATACGGAACACCAGTGGTACCCTATGGAAAATGCATTACGAATAATTGCGCTTTTGTAACCTAGAGAGGCCACAAGTATACTGTTTCGTGTCATGTTTAGCTCTGTCTATTTGCATAAATATTTTATATAACTTTAATGAAAGAGATAATATAATTAATGATTGGTTATAAGCAGACAAAAACGCATGATTCATAATTGTAATATTTTATACAATACTTAATCTTCCTGTCAGACGGCAATTTTATAACCTATATAAAAATAAGGAGATGTGGTATGATTGCAAATGATAAAACTATCAACCAGAGAGTTCAAATGAAGAGGATGTAAGCAATTATAGGCAACCGTACGGCCTTCAACAATGAGAAAAACCCATACCATATTGTCGGCTGTAAAAGGCCCCAACATGAAAAATATGAAACAATTCAATTGAAAAAAACTAACAGCCTAATTTATAACAAAACAATTTACGAAAAACAAATATGAAAGACATGAACCAACGACAACCACTGAACTACAGGCTCCTGACTTGGGACAGGCACATAAAGAATATGGCAGGGTAAAATATGTTTGTGAGCGCTCAACCCGCCCTCTAACCTGGGACAGTGGTGTAACAGTACAACATATGAACAAACTATAAAAATCAGTTGAAAAAGACTTAACTCATCAGATGGATACAAATAGAAATACATCTAACAAAAACACAGAGTGGACGTGGACAGGTACTTATATATACATCCCCACAAGAAAAAGACACTAGTACAGATCTGAGAGTACTCGCAGTTACTGACAGCTAGTTCAAAGCCAATAACAACTAACAAAAAATCGTGTAGCTCATTTGATATCTGTAAAAGGTAAGGCCAGTTTTCTGTAAAGTTGTTTCACACAGATTAGCAAAGAGAGTCTGAACAATACAGCGGAGAGACTCAACCATATTTCTCTCTTCTTTAAATTTTGGGCCGATTCCTCTCTATTTGTTATATTTTAACGCCTTATTAATCTCTCTTCTTTATCGTGTCACCCAATTTTCCTACCTTCCCTATTTTGTATTTCTTGGGCCATTGCTCTGTTATTTTGTACATTATTCTCTATTCTGTAAACCCTATCAAGGCCTTCCTTCAGGGGAAAATGTCAACAATAAATAACAAACGTTAGGGACAATAAAATACAACTTATGTTGACAATTACTATTTTATTTGTAGATTGGCTGGCTACTCATAACTTAAGAACGAGAATCATGTACAAGTAAAACCTAGTATTCTATAGCTGCAAAAAAGAGGCATTAAGTACCAAAGGCATTTTCAAACGCATAAGTTTGCGACGAACTGATAACGTCATGGCAGAAAATGCAACACTTTTAATTTCTTTTCACATTTGAGTTTCAATTAAAAATACAGCGCTTCGGATTACTTTTCCTTGTATTATAAAAAACTATTTTTATCACTATATCTGAAGCAAAATCAAAAATAAACCCTGGAATCGGATTGTTGCTCAATCTACAGTACAATACACGACATCTAACGGTTAAAATAATTGAAAAGTCTGAATTGTCTTGTTTACCCTTCTTTGTTACCTTCTTCCATATACTAAATCCAGACTTTTTAAATCCGATAACGTGACGATATGTCTACCTCTCTTCCATTAGCCGTCATATGTTTTGGTTATTATATCAAAACGCATCATAGATACATGTAACAGGCAAAAACTTTTGTTCGTCAGAAGCTGCATTTGTGAAGTTAAAAAGGCAAAATAAAGTACGAAGTTGAAGAGTATTGATGACCCAATTTTCCGAAAGGTTCTGCCAAATACAGCTAAGGAAAGCTATAATTGGGGTAGAAAATCATTAGTAATTTGAAATATTCCATGTTTTGTAAACAGTTAACTTTTATTTATAACCATCTAAATGATAATGCTTGTCAACACAGAAGTGCTGACTACTATCAAAAGACTTTCAAGACAATTACAAACGTTTCTTAGAAAAAACTTTCACTTTGTAAATGAGATTTCTTTTACGATAAATCCTAGATTGAAATCACGTGAAATCACGCGGTAACTAAGAATACATTACCTCTGATGTAGTCCTGTTTTGGCTTCATTTTTGGTAGAGTTAAATTTTTGTATTCCCGTTTACTAACTGTTAATGTGTAATTCATTTCAGAATTGTTCATTGGAAGATACTGTCCCATGTGAGTTTCATTTAAAACTTTCGTATGGAATGTTGCAGACGACAGACAAGTGTTAATCGGTGCTCCATTCCAAAAACAATATACAGTTGTTAAACAGACGATCACAAGAATTTCAATAACTTTCTCGATTTTTTTCAGCATCGTGGACATTTTTCAAGGAAGATCGTAAGAAATGGACGAACACTAGGAACCTGTTATACTATGTCACGTGATATTATGCCAAATTGACATGAGCGACACATCTATTAGTAAGAATTGTCTTTCTCCTGTCAATGAGACATGTTGATTAAATGTCAATTACAAGCATTTGCACTATATATCACAAACGAAGTTAGAGGAAATACAATGGATAGATTCTTGTCATTGAATTGAAATAATATGTTCTTTTCCGTGGGACAATTTTAATATAAATATATCTAAATGATTTAGTATAAGTTACAAACATGCCGTACATAATCTTAGTACTTCCATAACAGTGGTTATTCATAGGGTGGGAACGGTGTTGTAAAGTCAGGCCTCGTTCTCACTGTACATGCATGTCGTTTAGTCTGAGGTGGACAGTTGTCTCATTGGCAATCATACGTACCACATTTTATGTGAAAAATGCTTTGCGTATACAAATGTTAGTGTTTACATCTTTGAGATAAAAACTTATCAATTGTTAGCATGTATTCAGTTTTGTATTCAAAAGTAAAAACACAACTTCAAGTGTTCTCAAAATTGAAGCATGTATACTATATAGGGGGTCGTATAAAAAAGGGGAGAGGGATACATGAATGTGAAAAGACAATAAAATAGATAAAATAGCCATATACGATGACCGAATGATTCAAAAATATTGTGCAAGTTGTTCTTACTAATTTGCAGGAAACACGGTGAATAATGAGCTTCAATCACAACAACACCAAAAATAAAAATTACAAACACGTTTTAACTGACGGAAAATATCCTTTTAACACTCCCTTTACATTTTAATATTTAAAAATTCAATTAAACATTGTCTACAACTTATTCACACCTGTGTGAATGCGACCTAATTACTGTAGCTGACGAACTAATCTACGGAAAATGTACTTGCTCACATGTATGTTAATTAATTAAAATAAATAATCAGATACCAAGTTCAAGTTCAAATTCAGTATACATGTACGTGTCTTTAATAGAAAGAAGTGTAGGAGTGTAAACGAAAAAAGATGGATTTTTTTTATTCTTTCAAAAAATGAAGTATGTATTGAGAATTGTTCAAAAAGATAATAAGAATGATCACCGAGCATGTACTTAAGCTACAGCTTGTTAAAAAATTACACGTTTTGTATGGATTATACAGAGAGAAGACATTATTATGTGGATAGAAGTTAAACAAAAAGATAAAATTTTGAAATAAATATACGAGAAGATAAGTCTTATATATATAAAACGCTTTCAGAATTTCAAAAAAAAATTGGTTCACCCCATTTCTTCCCTCCCTCTGCTATAACATAAAACAGTCAATTATACATTTTCTGAGTAACTTCCCCTTAATACGTTAAGTTATAAAAAATGTAATCAAACGAAAAGATTCTACCTTTATAAAATATATGATATAAGAATATAAAATCACATAAATCATTTCATTTAAATTACAATTCTTATTAGTAAATTGCATTCCTGTACGGAAATTTGCTAACTTGATTGAAAACCTATATCTATTGTTTTTTTGCTATGTTACAATCCAAGATAGCGAAAAAAAACTTTCATACCAACCAAAAGATTTACATTTGGTTTTTGATATAATATACCTTTTAAATCCACTTAAAACAATATAAGAGGTGGGCATATAATTAAAACATAGTACATTCCAAAACAAATTTGAAGAAAGTTTCCTGTCAGAAATACACCTTTTTTTGCTGTGCTTTGTTTCATGCCAATCTGATGAGTCAAGTCGTTTCCGACTGTTTGTTACAATTTGAAAGTATTTCGACTGGCCATCAGTCATTCCATCATTTTGATTTTCATGACCGATAAATGCAATGTTAAAAAGGGAAACATCCGTACGCAACAGACAAAAGGACGAAGATGTAATCAACTACAAGTCATTGTTATGCCATCAACAATGAGCAAAACGAACACTGTATTGCAAGCGATAAAAATCCCCGGCATTACGAAATTTAAAACAATTCAAACGAAAAAAAACAACGACCTGATTTCTGCTAAGAACAATAAACGAATCTAGCAAGCAACAACAAACGACAACTGTATTACACGCTCCTGACATGGAACAAAACAAATAATGTAGTGCGAATCCTGCGCTTCTTGCAACTTATTTATTTTATTTAATAACGAGATTTAAGAATGTGTGATCCGCCTGATGTCTTATGCACGTATACAGATAGAACTGCTTGCGTGTATTTTTATAGGCGACTATAGTTAAGGATGTCATAGCTTGATCTTTAGTTTGTTTTTTTCTTCTTCTATAATACTGTTTGTACTTTAAAAAACGTAATTGCGAATATAATCAAATGTACATTATTCGTTTTAAACGAATTTTGTAATTCTTAATTAAAGATGGAAGACGATTCGCTATTAGAGATTTTGCTAACAGGTGTATGTATGTCTTCAATATCTGATAAATCAAATATTGATTTAAAACAGCAATAATTACATAAGTATGAATATTCAATAACAATTACTTGAAGTAAAATTAAGACCGTTAGTTATATACAGACAAAATGAAGACATTTTACAAGATTTCATACCTGCCCCCGGCTAACAAAGACAAGTCTTCAATAATAAAAAACCTCAAATTTGATAATTTTATAATCATAAATGTCAAAGGTTATTAATTATACATCACGATTGACAAGCTAATTCACAGGGAGTTTTCTTTTCAGTGACGCCATGACAATAAATGGTAGCTAGTCATATTCGTGATTTACGTAAAACAAAAAACAGAAAGGAAATATTGACTACATAGAAATAAGAAGACGTGGTGTGAGTGCCAATGAGACAACTCTCCATCCAAGTCACAATTTGTAAAACGTTAACAATTATAGGTCAAAGTACGGCCTTCAACACGGAGCCTTGGCTCACACAGGATAGCAAGCTATAAAGGGCCCCAAAATGACTAGATTAAAACAATTCAAACAGGAAATCCAACGGTCTAATCTACATAAAAAACGAGATGTTCTCCTTCACTTATTTAATAAGTACATGAATGTAATCAAGCATATTATACATGCATGTAATCATGCATATTTTAATAATGTAATCAAAATAAACCCACTTTTTTCTAAATATTTGATCTAATTTACATTTCGTGTGTTATATGTAGAGGGCGTCGCATTTATCTGTAAATAAATCTTGTCTCATAAATTTGTGGTGGAACAAATGCATATTTCTGGTATATTACTGTCACACATTATTGTTTATGTGCAGATATGCAGGTCATATTTCAAATCCATTCTTTATTGCTTGCCAAAAATAAGTTCTGCATTATAATACATGTAAATCATGATCTTTCATTATCCAGCTTATTCTCTGTCAGACAGTCGAAGTCAATTTAAGTCAATTTAAATTTTATTTTTTATAATTGTATAAATCTAGTGTTGTTTTAACCAATGTTTTTATCGAGTAGTTCACTCCATGCCGAAACTACTCTTCACATAAAAAATTTCAGTGTCAAATTATGTAATTGAAATAAATGGTCTGAACGTGAATACTGTACACGATGTGTACTGATTAAGGTGGTTCCAAACACATTGACTAAAATTAATTTGACTCGTTTAATTTTCACAAAATTTTCACAAAATATTTACCTTGACCCTTTGACAAAAATATAAAAAATTCAAAAAACTTGAACCACACACTTTATCATAAAAATTTCATTGGATATATAGCATGTATAGCAGTTTGACAATCACTAATTTTGATCATTGAAAAGCTTAATATTTCCTTAACAATAGAACGTGATTAAAACGTTCAGTTAATTTTTAAAGAGTTATCTCCCTGTGGTGATATGTACCACCTTAAAACGTTAGTCTGGGAGTACATGCTTATATATATATATTTGTTAGTTATAATTGGCTTTGAAATAGCTTTCAGTAACTGCGAGATCTCTTATATCGACGGTTTATGTCTATTGTTTAATGTATGTTGTTTTTGTGCCTTATATTGATCTTTTGAGTTAATGTGGTACATACATTAATCACGTTCTATTGTTTCGGAAATTTAAGCGTCTCAGTGATCAAAATTAGTGTTTGTCAAACTGCTATATATCCAATGAAATTTTTCTGATAAAGTGTGTGGTTCAAGTTTTTTAAAATTTTATATTTTTGTCAAAGGGTCAAAGTAAATATTTTGTCAAAATTTTATGAAAATTAAACGAGCTAAATTAATTTTAGTCAAGGTGTTTGGTACCATCTTAAGCCAATTGCAACTGATTTTTTACAATTTGTTCTTTTAGTGTGCTGTTACACCATTGTCCTAGATAATGTGGAGGTTTGAGCGCTCACAAGAATGTTTAACCCCGTCACATCTGTATGTGCCTAGCCAAAGTCAGGAGCCTGTAGTTCAGTGATTGTCTTCGATTCATGTCTGTCATCTTGTTTTTTTCTTCTTAAATCATTCTGTTATAAATTAGGCCGTTCGTTATCTCGTTTGAATTGTTCCACATTTTTCATTTTGGGACTTTTTAAAGCCGATTATACGGTATGACTTTTTCTCATTGTTGAAAGGGTGTACAGTTGCCTGTGATTGCTTTTATCCACTTCATTTGAACTATGGTGGATAGTTGTCTCATTGGCAATCATACAACATCTCCTTGTTTTTATTTATACATTGTATATATATGTGTGTTTCAAGAGACAGAAAACAAAATGTAGTTTTTTTTTCATTGCATCAAGATAACAACCTTGTTCTAATTTTAAACAACTAAATGACATGCTTCAGTACACGTGTATTTACTGAGTAAACAGTTAACATCCATGTATATGTCTTATTTCCTTGTGGATGACATAGCTTGTCAATCTAATGCTTTTTTTTTCCTTATGCCTTAAAATTAAAAAAAACAAAAAAACAAAAAAAACAAAAAAACATTTCTTCCTATTAAACCATTCACTTTGAGCATGTTAAAATAAATGACATGTCGGAGTTCATATTTCCGTTTTGACAACGTTTCATCTATCATACATGTCAATCATACTTATACTAGTCAACCAAAGAAAATATACAAAACAATGCAGTTTTCGTAT